TTCGAGCAATTTTTGAAAAAGATTTTAATACCTTTTGATATTATTTTTATCTCTTGAACAGTTTTTAAAAAACATTTTTTTATCTCTTGAGCTATTTTTAAAAAATATTTTATCTCTCGATAAATTTCCAACAGTATTCTATCTCTTGAGCAATTTTTAACAACTTCTTTTATCTCTCTAGCAATGTTTGTACAATATTTTTTTTAACACTATTTATTCACTCTAGCAATTTTTAACAGCATTTTTTTACCTTTCAAGCTATTTTTGAACCATATTTGATCGCTCGTACAATTTTTGAGCAAAATTTTAATAATTTTTAACACTATTTTATCTCTCGAGCAATTTTTATTAACATTTTTTATCTTTCTAACAATTTTTAAACAATGTTTTATCTCTCGAGAAATGTTTAACAGTATTTTTTATTTCTCGAGTAATATTTGAATAAGATTTTAATAACTTATGATACTATTTTATCTCTCGAACAATTTTTAAACCTTTTAGTATCTCTTGAGCTATATTTAAACAATATTTTATCTTTCGATAAATTTCTAACATTATTCTATCTCTCGAGCAATTTCTAACAACTTTTTTATCTCTTTAGCAAACTGCACAATATTTTAACTCTCGACAAATTTATAAAAATATTTTAACTCTCGATAAATTTTTGACAATGTTTTATATCTCGAGCAATGTTTGTACAATATTTTATCTCTCGAGCATTTTTTAATAGTATTTTATTTTTCGAGGAATTTTTAAACAATGTTTTATCTCTCGAGAAATTTCTAATAGTAGATTTCTCTTGAGTCAATTTTGAACAATATTTTATTTCTCAACCAATTTTTCAATAGTATTTTATCCCTCGAGCAATTTTTGAACAAGGGTTTAACATTTTGTAATACTATTTTACCTCGAGCAATTTTTGAACACATTTTAACAATTTATTATACTATTTAATCTCTGAAAAATTATTAAATATTTTTATTTCTCATTAAATTTCTAACAGTATTTTTATCACTATAGCAATTTTTGAACAATATTTTATCTCTCAAGCAATTTCCAATACTATTTTATACTTTGATCAATTTTTAACACCCTTTTTTACCTCTCAAGCCATTTTTGAACAATATTTGATCTCTCGTACAATTTTTAAACAATGTTTTATCTCTCGAGAAATATCTACTATTTTATCTCTGAAGTAATTTTTAACAACTATTTTAATTTCTCTTGCAATTTTTGACTAATATATCTTACACTTCAAATGGAAACATACGCTGAAAAAAGTACTAGATATTGTGTCGAGTGTACTAGAGTACCAGATTCTCAGAGAATGTACTAGATCTAGTACAATTGTACTAGACTGGCAACACTGAGTAGATAGCAGCATAGTAGCAGTGTTGCCAAATGCTGAACACATGCTGAAAAAGTCGCCCACGCACGATCCAATATACGTATTTGTTAGGGCCGGTTTCATAATTTATCTATGGCCGGTTTATTAACCAACAAATATAGGTACTCCCGTACCAGAGACAACACCCGTACTAATGTGTTGAGGAGCTGTAGCTGTGTTTTAAATTGAGTGAATTTATAATTTATTAGGGCACATTGCCATGTTGCATATTTGTATGACGACCGACCCAACCCAACGAATAATTCTTCTAATCGGCAATACTGGCGCAGTTAGTGTTTAGAGAAGTGGATGCAAATCCCCAATTGGCCTCTAACTTTATGCGGATAACGGTCAATACAATTAAAATTTTTCAGAAAATAAAATGCCAGACGGTCGTTCTCACTAGAAAACACCAGTCTAAAAATAATGAATATTATACTTAAAAATACTTTGCCATTTGCTTACAACAAATTAGCATGTGAGCGGATCAAACGAAAATTTGTTCGGTATTCGGTAGTTTAAAAAATCTGTAGGTCCTATGAACGTAAACTAAAAATCTCTTATTTTTACTATTTTAGCCTCTTACTTAGGTCCGGTTTTTCAATCTCCGGCTATTTAGGATAGCTGGCAGCTACCGAGATAGCCGTCAGCCACTGACTGTCAAAACGTTTTTCGACCTCCAGTTATACGATAGCCGTCAGCTATTTTGACTGTAACCGTAACCGACACTTGCAAGTGGTAATTTCGTATAGATAGCCGCCAGCTATTTATTGTACATGCGTAGGACGTTGTTTGTCAAATTTAGAGGTTAATATTTTTATTAATTTTATTTCTGAAAAATGGGTTTCTTTGAATATATTCACAGCGACGATGCCAAAAAATAAATTATTGAATATTAATCAATGATGACCTTGTAATCCGTGTGTTGTAAGGGAACGGCCCATTTATTTCGATATCGATGAACTGAATTTTATTTTTTTTTTGTTTTTTGTGTCATCGGCATCAACTGCTATGGTTATTAGCCTCGTGTTCTGTGTAGACTTTGTAACTGTTTCCCAGCGCCACTTTAGGAACAACACTGTTAATTTGTACCCAACAGTAAATGGTCGAGTGGGGAATCCTACCATTCACTGTTGGGTACTAATTAACAGTGCTGTTCCTAAAGTGGCGCTGGGAAACAGTAACAAAGCCTACACAGAACACGAGGCTAATAACCATAGCAGTTGATGCCGAAATATTAAATTTTAGATTTTTCTGCAACCTTCTCATTTCGTTTCCGTGATATTGCATTTTCCGTTTTTTTTTTTACATTTTGTAAGATAACCAAATTTCAATAGTATGGCTCTATCTGATTCCGCGTAATTAGATATTTTCTCTTTTTTCTAAATCACCAATTGCCCAAAAACAGAAAATAACAAGATCTTAAAGAAAAATGGAAGCAAAATAGAACAATTTTTATGTGAAGGTCGGTGACGATCAACACAAGACACGATATGTAAAACGGAAAATTTAAATTATCCAATAAAAACCATTTAACAAATTAGCAGAAATGCCAACCTGTCTAAGAATAAATAAAAACTATTAGACTACGTAGCTAGCAGTTAAATTCGTGATGAAAAACACTTCCATCCATATTCCATCGGTAACAGGGACTTTGACTGCCAGCTAAATATAGCTGTCGGCTACGTAACAGCCACTTTGACTGGACATTGAAAAACCGACCCTTAATAAAGATCATCGCCACTCATAATATACCAGGGTTGTTTAAAAATATCAATAACAAATTCTTACGGCGTCACATTTACGAGAGATGTTCAAAATTATTATTTATAATTTGAAATTATTTGTTTTATGTGGTGCCACCAGTGATGATGTAAAATGAACCAAAGTTGTGTATAGAACTAAATAGATGGTTTTTTGAATTTGGTAAATATTGGTTAAATAATCGTTTATTAGTCAATAGACAACAGTAACAATTTTAATGAGTAAATTTTAAACATTAAAATTTTGCCGTTCAGATATCACTGGAGGCCGAAGAAGTAATTTTAAAGTTGAAAATGTTATGTTTTCTTATCCCGTGACTTGTATTAATAAATCCAGAGAATTTAAATTTTGTTGCCAAATGTCTGTCTACTTTTATTTTCCTATTAATCCCATCTCTATGTGTATTGTAGAAGGAGTGAAATAGAAAAATAATTATATGTCTGTTCTTTATTTTAACAATTCTGGAAAATGCTTGAGGAGGTGTTGCAACAAAATAAAAAGGGTAGTATCCATTAAAATTTACTGATATTGTATTTTAAAATTTTTCTAGTTGTCCATGTGTATTTTAAATAAATAATAAATTACCTGTAATAAAAATTTGAATCCATTATTTTTTTACTGGGATATGCCATTAGTTTTTATAAATTAAAAGACAAATTAACAAAATATATTTTAAATGTGTCCGTAATTAGATATGATTACTACGAGGGGTAAACCACTCCCGAAATACTGGTACGTTATCACTTGAATCACCGAAATCACTACAAAATTTTCCGAAATCATAGCCGAAATCCCTTCGAAATCAATTCGTCGCTCAAGAACGTAAACACAGCATCTTGTGGATCAAGGGAACAGGCCAAAAAAGAACATCGTGTAAAATTAAGGTGGATTTTCAGCAAAATCACATAAACATTTTTTAGGTGATTTCCGAAATACGGGTACGTTTTGACTTTGGTGGTTTCCCCCTTGGATTAGTATATTTACCTGCAGTAAAATTGGTTACAAAGATCAACCCCTTGATTCTATTTAGGTGGTACCACACGCATTTAAAATATTTGCAACATCATTATATTCCCTAATAAACCAAGTGACAGAAACTTCATATAAGTCAGTTTGAAACTAAAATTAATATATACAATTCTGTCTATATTTCTGTTTTTGAATATTTTGTATGGAACATGAATCCTGGATGAAAACAGATTCAGCCGAGGATTCAGCTAATTTAAAAACGTCCACGATATCAAATATAACTAGAAAAAAATATATAGACCACTGAAACTATTTACGCATTACTAGAAGAAAACACAATGTTTTAAAACTATTCGCCTTCGGGGTATATTTGGCACCTTTTATAACGTGTCGTTAGTTTATAGGGTGATTTTAAGCGGGAATATTTATCAATAATGGTTTTTCAATCCTAATTTTCTTCTAAAGGCCTAAATAAATGGATTAATCAATGTTTTCTAATAAAAATAATCACAATTATTGAATGTTCCTACATAAAGATTGAAATTTCTGATGCTTTGTTATAGTTCATTATGTAACACAATAATTAAAAATAAGAGGTATCAACTTACATTTTATTTATATTATTTTTAGGGGTGTATTCTAAAGGCATAATAATTACAATAAACCTAATTTAATTACAAACCTTTATACTTTTTACTACTTGCAAACAAAATAAATTAACCACATTACATTATTGTGGCGTATTAACATTGATAGTAGCAAAAAAAGTAGTTTGAAAGTTAATTTACCATTTCGTAGATTTAAGACAAGTCCAAGGATATACCCAAAGCAAGATTACTAGTAAAGTATTTCTACTACAGGTATTAAAATAAAAAACTAATTTTCATTTGCAGTATATACTTCTGGAAATATAGTACATATATATCATTTTATTACAAATACTAAATATCATTACCATATAAACTTTGCCACATCGTCTTATTCACAAAATTACACAGGATACAACATCGAAAAAAAAACCTGAAACAAAATACCCCAGAGTCAAATATAAACTTAATTGAGAGAGAGAACAAATCTATTCAACCAACCTTTAAATAAGATATCAGTCTGAATCAGAGCCGCTTTCAGACAGGCACAAATCGTCATTGAGCAAGAGCTTCATTGAGTTGGTGTTACCATTACTGTAACCATTCATTTTACCCACCGGCGGTGGTATTACATTCTTATTGGCTACGGTGTCTATGTCCGAGTCGGAATCGCTATCGCTACTCGATGAGGAAGTATCGGTTATTTCTCCTATGCCTGGTTCAACCTAAAAGTAACCAAAAAATATGACAGCTTGAGTTTCGTAAATAAAAAAAAAATCTGTTTTATAAGATTATAGAATTAATTTACATGGTCCCTAATTATGTAATAACAAAACCGGATAGGTCGTCAAATAAAAAGAATGTCGGACACAATCTGTTTTTTATTAAAGGTAAACAGGCTGCGTTAAGACAACGGTCAAGTTTACCGGCATGGTCAGACCGGTAGCTGAACAATTTAGTCCAAACTAGTTCTATTTTTCAAATTTATAATCGGCACGAGAACAACCACAGGTACCTGTTTTTACCATATATGGACTTTATAATGTTTAAAAAAAATCAGATTGGTGCATAAAATTTGTTTTTAATAAATACATTGTTTATCCATATTTTTGATTAAAAAATAATATAAATATAGGCCATCGTTGAAGTTTAACATTATATTATTATTAAGTCTTAAAATACTCAACTCACTGATATTAAGTAGTGGCAGATTCTTTTTTGTGTGTGCAAGTACAATCATAAATGACAATAACTGACCATTCACTATACTCTGTTTTTAAACTAGGAGGAGCGAATTGAAAAGACGCATTTACACAGGGAAAAGTAACTAGATTTGTTACTAAGAGCGAGTTTCGAAATATAGTCGTGTTCAAAATTTATGAAATAATTATCTTTGTCGGCCTTAGTCGGTGAACGGCCAATGAACGGTTAAGAAACGAATAAATGTCATAGAAGTAATTTTTTAATTGGTCCCAGACAACGGTCGCAAATTTCACATTATTGTGATCTGAAATGTGTGTCTAAAACAAAATGTCACTGTCAAATTAAAGTCAATATGGTTGTTGATTGATGTCAGAAATACTTTTTTCTTGCTTTTGAAATCGACTTTTTGAGAATAACTATGATCTTTTTAAAATGGATATTAAATATTTAAGAAAATTGTTAATGGAATATCCAGATGTAGCCAGGTTAGTATAAAATATAAAGATCTGTTTACATTTTTAAGGATATATTTGTTATAGGTATAAAAAGTAAAAGTTAATCAGTGGATCACACAGTAACTGGCATCTTTTCTATGAGTAATGTGGATATTATGGCTTATTTAGTGTTAACCCATGGTTAATGCGCTAGAGGGCAAATAAAGGCATTCAAAAGTTTACAGGCCTATGAGTCAGAATTTGTTTTGAAAACTGGAACTAACATTTTCATAACACTACATGTCAACATATATTTTTTAAAGTGAACTATTCATACATACCTATGTATTAATTTTAAGTATTTTTAAAATATTTTTTGTGAAAGTAATGTTAACTCATTGTGCCAAATTAAGATTATCCCTAAAGTAGTAGATGGTGTTTTAAATGTTATAACAATTTTGTAAATAGTTTTATTCTATTCTAATAAATAAAATTTGCTTGAATAGTTACATTTTAATCATTTTGGTTAGAAATTCATCAATTTTTAGTTTTAAAAAATCAGTAATAAAATATTTTTTTCTAAAATACTTCGGAATTCATCTCTTCATGGTAATCTCCCATCTTTTTACCTTCAAAAACCAATAATGCATTTTCTACAAAACCTTCAGAATCAGCATGTAAAATAATAAGGTGTCTTCCCTTTCTTGTAAGGCTTTTCAGGAATTGGTACCTTTAATAGTACTCAGTGTAGAAGGATCCATAATTGTAGATTTTCAATACAATTGCTTAGGTACTGACGAACTATTATTTACGAAATAAAGTAAAAAACTAAGTAATGGATGAGATATCAAATCATAAAATGTCAGAACTGTCAACAATATCAATTATTAGCTGATGTTCATGCTAAAAAGTAATGTGTGAAACTGACTGTAATCTGACCAATCAGAAGTCTACAGAATTGCCAACTTAAATTCAAATCGCTCCTCTTAGTTTAAAAACAGAGTATAGATAGTTTTAACTGCAAGAATCGGACAAAATTTATCGATCGTTCTGACTGACATGGACTGATCAGCTGATTAGTCATGAGTGGTCATGTTGGTCAGTCTTCTCTATGGTTAGAAGTTTTTGATCGATCCGACTGCTCACTTAACACACCCACAATGACGCAGTGGTGTAAGTATGAGATGTTTAAACTCTTCAAAAAAATTGCTAAAATTGATCAAGTGATAAGTAAAAATTCGCTAGGGTCGCTAGAGTAAAAAATGGCGGTTCAATTTTAGGATGGGTTTATCAGTGCACTGTTAAATACTTTAGCTGTTAGTTAATATAATTTCAAACTGTTTATTAGTATCCCAGTTAAGGTGAATAGAGCACCCTTTATAATTTTCGGACAAGCACATTTTAAAAAGTAATTTTGTTAAAAAATTAACATTTTGGAAAAATAAATTAGGTAATATTATCTAGATATGCATATATTTTAAAGTTTTAATTCCTTTCACTTTCCGAGAAAAAATTAGATCTTTAAATTTTGAAATAACATAATGAAAATAAATGCATTCCCTAACAGCACTATTCTTAATATATTCCCGAAATGTATTAATTATTTTTTAAAATTCGACAAAATTAGTGGCCAAAACGCCTAGTTAAGTGCTGCCTTCTGGTGTAACGCGCCTGTAACTATCATATCCTACACTCCTAGTCCTCATTCGTTTCTTGCAACGATTTACACCAGTTTACAACAGAAGATAACACTTAACGAGGCGTTTTAGCCACTAATTTTGGAGAATTTTAAAAAATCATAAAGAAGTAAGAGCTCAAATGCATTTATTTTTATTATGATATTTCAAAGATTAAAGCCCTTTCATTTTATTATCGGAAACTGAAGGAACTAATACAATAAAATATATGCATATTCTAGATATTATTTTGTTAAAATTTGAATTCTTTTTAGAGAATAACTTTTTGAGATATCCTTGTCCGAAAATTATAAGAAGTGTTATAATCACCTTAATCTTAACTGTAAGACAAGTCTCGGCCATTGGAACAGATGAACTGTTAAATAGATTTAAATCAAGAAAATTAACATTTGCTTGGATACCAACTAAATATAATTTTACTGAAATATGATTTTAATGTATATTTAGTGAATTGTATATTTTAGCCACATTATATAGTTAAAAAATCTTTGACCTATGTCGCGGCAAGGCAATTGTATGGCGATTTAATGCTTGTGAAGGGTACATGAATAAAAGGTGCTCATCGACATTTTTTAAGTTCTAAGAAAATACACAATTAAGTATGCGCTAGTTCAGTAATGATGTAATTATGGTTCCACTGACAATTAAAGTGACAGTAGATTTTTTGAGTGCGTTTTGTTCGTTTTGTTTACCTAAATCTCCGAGCAATTACTACTAGAGGGAGTCTTCCCCCCTTCCCCGCGCTAAATTTTGTTAGCAACATCTACTCCCCCCGAGGGGGAAAATACCTCTTCTGTAATTGGCTTATTTAATCAGCGTTGCCAAGTTTGACAGCACCAGAAGTGTTCTGTGAGCGCCAGTTCTGACACTTTCTGACACATGTCAATTTCTTATTTGTATTTTACGAAAAATATTATTATTTATAACGTTGTAAGGGTTGTAAATGTATATTTAAGATTTATTATCTCTAATAATATGGTGAAAACATGCTTTATGTGTAAAAGGCCTGTTGAAAATGCTTCTTCAAGATAAGTAAGTACAGACACAACCTAATTATCAGAGGCGGTGCATTAGGCAACCACCTTTAATTTGCCATTAAACTTTCTTATTTTCTTATCGAAAAATTAAAATTAAGAGCAAGTACACTCCAGCTAAGTTCGTCTTCATCCGTCTCATAATGATTATAGTAAAGGTTAATTACTTATTATTATTTTAATATCACATCTTTGTAAAGTTTATTGTTATTTTTTTTAGGTTTCCTTTTCTTGACATGAGAAAGAAATACATGGTTCCAAAAGATAGGAATTCAACAAGTGAACACCTGAACAACTTTTTATGCTAATAAACATTTTTATTACAGATCTCAGGGAAGGAAAATATTAAATAAAAATGCAATTTCGACGAAAAAAGTATAATAATCAATCCTGTCACTACTTCTACACTATATTCATCTGCTACTAAAATAATAAAACAGTAAGAAAGTAGAGAAACTTAAGTTTCTTTCAAAAAGAATGTTTAAGGAAAAAGGCATAGCTATTTTTTTGTTGACACTTTTTTTTAAAATTATATATTTTTTTCAGGTTTCTGTTCACAACGATTCCAAGAACTTTTGAAAATATTATTAAAACGGCATTTGCAAATATAATTCTCAATTAAGAGCTTTTGATCTAACATTAAATTTTTATTCTCCATAAGGTTATAGCTTCCTAAGAAGAAAGTTTAATAAGACTTACCAGACTCAAAATATCAAAATTTTACCAACCAATTGATGGTTCTACTGGTTTCCATAGGAAAATTCTTTTCGAAACTACTAAAAGAAAAGTGGCAGAGGCAACCGAAGAAGGCAAAAAAGTCTTTTGCAAAACAAAAACTAGAAATTTGTTTAAGAATCTTATTATTGTTTGAAGTTTTACCAATGATAATTTTTGATACCGATTTAAGATTATGAAGTTCTATTATGAATTTTACTCTTTGATAACCTATGTTTAAATTTTTATTAGGACCAAAATAAATTATAATTTTCATTTCAACTACAAAAACCCTCATAATATTAAAAAGGGGAAAAACGTTAGATTAGTTATGTTCAGGAATAAACTCTTTTAACATTTATCTACCTAAAATGTGTTACTTTTAGAAGGTATGTTATTAACTTTCTGTTTGTACTTGTATTAATTCATTTCATTTTATTATCTGTTGTATTTTCAAATTGATTTTGATATTAATCTTATCTCACATATATGTTTTTTTCATTTATTAGCTTATTAAATATAATGAATTCATGTTGTTTTATTATATGCTTGCATGAATGATTACTTTTATTTCCTTTTAAAAATGAATTTCGAAGATAAAGCCGAAACGGTGAGTGAGAATAAAAATTAGAAGAAAGTGACGATATTTACTGGAGCTTTCATCTACACGCTCCTTTTTCTAGCCATCTACACATTAAAAAGGGGAAGTTAGATTAGTTATGTTCAGGAATAAACTCTTTTAACATTTATCTACCTAAAATGTGTTACTTTTAGAAGGTATGTTATTAACTTTCTGTTTGTACTTGTATTAATTAATTTCATTTTATTATCTGTTGTATTTTCAAATTGATTTTGATATTAATCTTATCTCACATATATGTTTTTTTCATTTATTAGCTGATTAAATATAATGAATTCATGTTGTTTTATTATATGCTTGTATGAATGATTACTTTTATTTCCTTTTAAAAATGAATTTCGAAGATAAAGCCGAAACGGTGAGTGAGAATAAAAATTAGAAGAAAGTGACGATATTTACTGGAGCTTTCATCTACACGCTCCTTTTTCTAGCCATCTACACCTGAGCCAGCAAGATTCGTCTTCCCTCCATCCTTACATTCTCCAGATTTACAGAGAAAACGCCGTCCTCTTTAACATATCCAGACCTTTGACGGGGACTATACCACTACATTATCAGCTTTATTTGTTATCCCGAGCAATTTAAATGCATTCGTAATTGCTCATTCTCACCTCTTCTCTTGTAGATTCCGTACTCAGTTTTCTTATTTTTAGTTACGTTTGCACTGCTCTTTTATTTTCACAGCTTTAATTCTATAATGCTGTAACGCTACAATATGGATCCATTTATGTGGTTTATACTATTTAATGTTATTTGTAAGTGACCAACCTATTATAATAATTAAAGATTATTGTATTACAGGCCTGAAGATGTTCCTGTAAGGCCGAAACTAGTCGCTCCTGTATTTATAATAAAATTGATTTTAAGGTTTTATTCTTCAATTGAAAAAATTAGACCTTTACAGTGATTTTGTTTCTTTTCCTGCATTAGACACACATAAGACGGTATTCATTTTAAAAATAGTAAAATTAGCAAAATTTTTAGTTTTTTTTTTTTACAATTAAAACGTTTGGACAATGTGTGTTTTTATAGATAAATGATACGCCACTGAACAAGAAGGATGTTTACCTTCCCCCTTGTGCCCGCTTCCTCACTTCCTCTACAGATGTTGCTAACACAACATTCGCCTACAAACTCGTTTCCACGCTCCCTCTATTAGTAATTGCTCGGAGACCTAAATTATATCGTTTTTTTTCACTTTTATAAATATATTCCTAAAGTAAGTAGATAACATGTATCCAATATACAATCGTTTAGTTACCAATTACATACCTTTAAACTATTTTTTATGACCTGTAAACAATATTTTGAAATAAAATAAAAACAGGTAAAACGTATATGTCAAATTTATTGATGTTTTTGTTAAAAGTTTGGTTAGAATTAAATGTCAGTGGAACCAAAATGACATCACACTGAACTAGCTCATTAATTTCTGTCTATTGGCTTAAAAACTCGAATACTATTTAATTTCAATTTTATATTTATAACTACACTTGTACTGAATGTGATATTTTAATATTTTGCATACTGCACCAGTCTGGGAAATAATACAACCATTTTTCTATCGAAAATCCAAAATATTCAATAAAAGAAGGGGTTCATTGCAGCAATGAGCACCTTCTTATCCTAATTTTCAATTTGTATGAAAAAGGAGATCATTATTAGTGCTAGCACAGGCTTTAGTTTTCGTTGAAAATAATAAAAAAAATTAATAACTAACAGCCGTATGCATAGTCGATCGCCAGCCGAGATGAATCTCTGGCGACTTGCTGGAGATTGTCACCGGCATATCATCTCTCGCAAGTTTTCATGTTATTTTATAGGAAAAATTAGTTTTCATGTTCTTTTATGGGGAAAAATTTGATATTCGTTCATTGTTTTTTGAGTTTTAAGAAATGAATCATAAATAACATGCGAGAGATGCCGGTGATAATCTCCAGCAAGTCGCCACCTTTTCGGACTTTCGCCAGCGGATCGCTGGTGATACGCCGGCGAATCGCTGGCGATCGACTATGCATACGGGTGTAAGACTTTTATATTTTCTTTAGTTTTTAGATAAACTACAAAAAACTGAGACTATCTATACTTAATATCGGCAAAGTATTCCGCAGCTTCCGCCGAACAAAACTTCTTCAAGTCTTGCAGGTTTTTAAATTTTTCGACTAATATTTCCTCACAAACCTTAACCTCTTTCAATGGACGCGTAAGAATAACTACATGACTTAAGGAATAATGATCGGCAATGGGCGCCTGCTTTCTCTGGTTGCGCGCAATGTGAACCTTTTAGTGGAATTTGTCAGGCAGTGTGGCCCTTTCATGCTAGTTTGAGTTTGCAATCGGCCCTTTTTATACGTGTATGAATTTTATTATTGGTGGGAATATTACACGATAAGATCCTTTTATGTAGTTTTGGAGTAGACCAAATTAATGGCCATAGAATTTTGTATACAATAGCACTTTTACTGTAAAAATACAAAAAATGTCCCTTTTATTCCTGTACCCTTTATTCCTATCCGTTTTCTTATATGTATTGGTGAATTAGCTTGTAATAATTACTTAAAAATTAAAATTAACCATATAATCTATTTTCAACCATTTTATTGAATCCTAAATTACGAACTTTAAATAATAACAACTTACCTTGACGGACGGCAGGGGTGTGGGCATGGGTCGCTTTTCAGTGGGCAGTCGCTGACTGTTCAAATTCTGTGGTGCTCTGGAATTAGAAGCGACGTGTGCATTCCTCGAAGGGGGTCTTAAGTCTGAAAAATCGTCTACGCCTATCATCGGAAGGCTGGCAAGAGTGCTGTGATTGTGTGACCTATAAAACGAAAAAGAAACATTTTGATATCCCAACAGGGCACATTGGGAAAGTGTTTAATAGTTTAGAGTTTAATATAATCTACGAATTACAATTTTATGATATAATTTATTTTTAAATTTTATTTTTTAATTAGTTGCACCTAGATGTAAGCATTTGTATTTGCAACACAAATACAGTAGAATTAAAATTACATACACAGAAGTTATACAATTTTTTTTTACTAACAGTGAAAACTTATATATATAGAACTAAAAATAAGCATTACTGCAATTTTGACAAATCTTACAAAGGGTGGGGCAGAATAACCAGTGATTTTAAAAAGTCTGCAAAAAAAAGAAAATCAAGTTTTACAATTAAATTTATTATTTTGTTAAAGAACATAAAAAAGCATTAATTATTTTCTTTTTTTTTTAATAATTCCGGGAAGATGACGTCCGTTCAGGCGTACACATTCTTCCTATCATGATCTGAAATTATTCATTCTGAGAAATAAAGTTCACATGGAAACATTGGTTCTTAAACCAGATATATTGTGTTTACTAAATATTGGCTTTATTCCAAAAAGAAGAACTTTATAAAGATCAAATGATGTCATGGTGTGTCCCCAGTAATTTTTGTTCATGGAAGAGCATGTTTATGTTCTAGTGACAAATGTCAATCTGTTGAGGTAGTTGAATATGTTGAAAATCTAAGTGTGATTGAATGTGTCTGCATTATTATCACTGTAAAGCATATTTGATATTATATATGTCACAAGTAAAATAGCTTAGGTGCGATTAAGTTAGTCACAAATAGTTTAACAAGGACTTATACCAGGTAAATTTTCTGTTTTTGACAGTATAAACTTAACGTTAACCTGAAGAAAGTTCTGGAGCTTCACAAGTCAATTGTAAGCTACATAGGAGGCTAAACAAACAATATAGATACATTGTAAAAACCTTACTCATTAACGCTATTATGCAATTCCCTTTTGGGACTTTTGACAGGATGGCCCGGGGATGGGTAACTGGGACTCGCGTGTAGAGGCGAATGTTTTGGCACCAAATGCGTTATCTGCCTGTCGGCCCCCCTGCGACTGCCACTGGCGACTTTCGTTTTGCTAGAAATACGATGGCCGACCCCCGTCGCTCCGGGCGGCGTTTGAGATCGCATCGGGAGACTGTTCTTGGAGTTTGACGATGATGTACCGCTACCGGATCTGTCATTGCTTTGATTTAACCTATCAGCTGCAAGTAATAAAAAATTCATTAGTAATAATTGCAATTTTGGGTCGAATATTTAATTTTAAAAGTTAACATACACCGCACCACAAATTTCTTAAATTCAATCCACTTATTTGATATGATTCTCAACATTTTCAGCGAATGAAAGAGAACTGGCATGGAATATGGGCAGAGTCGAGTTGGATCTGGCATAATCTGTATTATCTGAGATGAGATTGAAAAAGGTAAGGTACGAGTTGGAGCCGGAATATTTTCCTAATATTCTGATTAGTTTTGTAAAAATACTAAATATTGTTGTCAATTGTCATTAAGACAATTGTTATATACATGCATGTTAAACAAAATTAAAAAATCTACGAAAGAGTTAATAGTAAAATAATTATACAAGTCAACTAATAGCTTTATGTAACTAGTTACAAAATGCCTTATTTTGTGTTACGAGTAAATCTTCACGGAATGGCATTTCGTAACGTGTTACATACAATTTTTTTTCTAATTTTGACTTGATTATTTATAAAATTGTGTTTGGTTAACAAGTATTAAAAGTAATTTTAAAAAACGACTTTAAAATGGTACAGATGCCATCACCATATCTTAACAAAATTTATATGGGACCACCTCTGAGTTACCCCCTTACTAACAAAAAAAGAATCATTGGAATCGGACACTGTGTTAAATAATTATCGCTGAACATACATAAAAAAATATACCGACGAATTAAGAACCTCCTCCTTTTTTGAAGTCGGTTAAAAAATGATTCACCATCATTCTTTTGTAGGTACTTCCATCAAATATTTCAGAAAATTGTTGTATTTGATTGTCTTACGTTTTTTTTTTTCAATAATAATAAAAATAAGGAACATGTGCAGTGTTGCCGATCTGATTTTTGACATTACCCGCGGGAAATATTTGAAAAAAAAACTTTTTTTCCGTTATCCTTAAAAGAGTACGTCAAAAATTTACCCTCAACATTTCTGGGCAGTTTTCAATAACGGAGTTATTTACAAAATAAAACGCAATTTACAGCTTTCATTTTTGTTGTTAAACGTAATGTCAAATGTGAAATGTCACTATTCATTAACTTTTTTCGTTTTTGGGTTTTTTCGATGTATCATGGATGTATCGTTTTTTCGAGTTAACAACCAAAAAGAGGTATTTTTAGTTATTTTCATTTCGTAACTGGTGTCATAATCAACTTTTCGTAATCAGTGGCATAATCTTCTACTTTATGCAATTGGTTAAGAAATTTTAAAACTGATTACCAACATATGTTTTTAAATAGTTACCAATAATTGAATTAGTTCAGTATTCAGTGGCAGCAAAAAAATTCTGAAATTGCCTAGTATTACGAGTAGGAACAAAAAGATTAATTTTCGGTAGAATTTTAGGACAATCATATCTTTCATTAGCAATATTAAAACTAATAGCAGATTTGCAAAGTGCAAAGTGACAAGTTTCAAAGTAGTTTTACGAAATAGGCCCCTGGTCTCCAGAGAAGGTATCTTTAAAAACTGCTCCACTGTTGTATAATGATAATAAATTTGTAATTTATGGGCTATGACCTAAGAAAATTGTTCTGAACAAGATCGATTTTTAATTTGTAGGTTACATAATGTGAGGACCATACAAAATAACAATACAATAATCAAGGTGACTCCTAACTAAAGTGCAATAAAAAAAATCAATACCAGCTAAATCAGTGAAGTCGCGGGTTGTCCTTTTGTCCATTTTCATATATGTACCTATAAACCTATAAGTGAAGAGATGTGGTAGTTAAATAAGGGTTGTGGCAAAAATACCGCCAAGATCTATCATTTGTTTTACACTATTTAAAATTTGACCATTGATTGTGTAGTCAAATATACTGGACCTCTGAGAACGATGGTACCGAATGTGACATTTTCTCAAATTTAAATCCACCTGCACCAATTGGATAAACGATTCATATCTAAATCTATAGTATTTTCAAAGTTGTTGACAATTTGGAAAAGTTCAAGATCATCTGTTAAAAGAAATTACTATGCCGAAAACAGGAAATTACATCGATTACAAATAAATTAAAAAGGGGTCCCAGATCTTGGAAAACTCCAGAAGTAACAGAGTAGTCGTGAGACTAATGACGTTTTAATTTGACTATTTGTGTTTTCTTAAGAAGATAGTTATTAATCCATTGCAACAGTAAGTAACTTAAAATTTACTTAGTTTATGAACTACCAACTCTATCAAAAACCTTGGAAAAGTCGGTGTATAGAGCATCTACCTGACACTCCATCTCCAGGGCTTCTGAAAGAAAGTTAGCATAGGAAACCAAATTCAGTTCAGTTGACTTAAGGCGCGAAAGTCAAATTGTTGTCGAGTTAAAGTTAAGTAGCCCTTTGATATTTTCAAAGTTTTGGGATTATGCTAATTATACACTGTGTTACAGCCAAATGGAATAAAATCGGTAATAAATGGGGGCGCGTTCGGAAACACGCTCGGACACGTCGATTGGTATTTTTAGTTGCGCTTTTTTTTAACAAAAACTTTTTATACTGTGTGTGTCATGTAACAGTGGCCAATACCAACTTTATTATTTTAAATGCAACACCCTGTATATTTTTCAATCTTTGTATTCTTCAGAAAATTCTAGACATATTTTATGTACTGTCCTATACCTAAATGTGGCGGGATTATTAAATGTTTTCCGATTTATTGCAAAAAATAACATTAATAAAATGAAATTATTTGATTACAGAAATTCGTTACAACACACTCAAAAACTAATACGTAACACTATTTATTTCTTGATAATGTAACAAAACACATCTCAATGTAGGAAATTTTCAAAATGCTCGCCGCAAACCTCTTGGCAACTTCCTAATCTGAAATAAAAATATCTTCTAACGTTACTCAACATCTCATGAGTGACCGATCAAATCCCAAGCGTTATTCGTCTTCCTAAGTCAGCTAGGTTTTAATATTTCCGAAACAATTAGGTATTAGATTTAATTAGGACTATGGGCCATGTGGCCTCCCCCACAATTAGGTATAGGACATAGTACATAAAATTTGTCTAGAATTTTCTGAAAAATCCAAAAATTGAAATATATATGTTGCAATTAAAATGAAAAAGTTGGTATTGGCCACTATTACATGACAATGCGCAAAAACCAGATTGAATTTATAGACGGTAGGCGTGGTCACAGACCTCCCAACATCTTATTTATAATAAAATGCAACTTTGCAGTATTATAAATAAGACACTGGAAGCTCTGTGACCACGCCTACCGCCTATAAATTCAATTTGGTTTCTGCGCATTGTAAAGTAATGTACTCTTCGGATAGTAATCAAGCTCTACTGATAAGTAGGATTAGGTAATAAAAACTGACATTGAACTCTAAGAGTACAAGGAGTAAAACCATATGCGCACCACGTTTACGCCTACTCATTCCACTCCACTCTGGAGTGCGCAGCCCGAACTCACCTAGAGACGTTTAAGAAAAAAAGGTGGGAAATCGTCCCATTTAAAAACTAAGTTTTGTTATTATGGGTATTTTCTTAAATTTTCACAAAAATCAGACTAAAAACAAAGGCTCAAAATGAATTAGACTTTCGAGGTGTTTGGTTTGCTCTTAAAAAAATAGAGATATGTAGAAAAATATGGCTTTCACAAAAAGTTTAAGAAATTTGCAATAGTAGAAAATTTTCTTCTCCATACAAAGGGTAGATGCGGTATATACCGACTTTTCCAAGCCTTTTAATAGAGTGAAGCATGAATTGTTAATTCATAAATTAAGTAAATTTGGTTTAGGTGGCATATTGTTGCAATGGATTAAAAGCTATCTTCTTAATAGAACTCAAATGGTCAAAGTAAAACGTCACTATTTTCATCATTACTCTGTTACTTCTGGAGTTCCCCAAGGTTCCCATCTGGGACTCCTTCTTTTTAATTTATTTGTCAACAATGTAAAACCTTTTGTTTTTGGCACAGTAATTTTTTACTTTTTGCAGATGACCTAAAATGTTTCCAATTTGTCAACAACTTTGGAAATGCTATTGATTTAGAGCCTGATATTAATCATTTATTCGATTAGTGTAAATACAACGGCATGGATTTAAATGTGGGAAAATGTCACATTATTCGGTTCCAATGTTCTCAACAATCCACTATATTTGACTACATAAGCAACGGTCAACTTTTAGATAGTGTTAGGGCCGATTCCACCGTTGCGTTAAACGGAGATTAAAATGACAATGTTAATGTAAAATGTCATTTTAAACTTCGTTTTTTACAACGGTGGAATCGATCCTTAAACAAATTAAAGATCTTGGAGTTATTTTCAAAACAAATCTTTGCTTTAACCACCACGTTTCTTCAGTTAAAAGTAAATCTAAAAGAATGGACCGTGACTTCACTGATGTAACTGCTCTTATATATGGTCCCCACATCATTTAACGTAAAAATTAAAAATCGATCGTGTTTAGAACAATTTTCTTAGGTACATAGCCTTTAAATTACAAATGTTTTATGATCATAGTACAATGGAACAGTTTTAAAGATCCTCTATCTGGAAACCAGAAAAAAACATAAAGAGACCTGCTCCTACTTTTTAATATTGTTCATTGGAAATATAATTGTCCTGAAATTCTTTCGAAAATTTATCTTTTTGTTCCTACTCGTAACAATCACAAATATTTTATATTTCTTTTTATATACTTGATAGTACTTTTAACAGCTGTATTCCTCAGATACTTCGATTGACAAACTCTCTGGATAATATATTATATTAGGAATGGTGTATTTGAGAATTAAATTGCTATTTTTTTTTTGTTTTTGTGCCAAAATTTTGAATTTATTCTAAGTATTTCTTTGTTTTAAATTATTATCTAAAACGAATTGTTGCCAAACAATGGATACATAATAGTTTGGCAGGTGTTCCTATGACTCACTTTTAAATGTTTTAACATTATTAATAATAAGTTAACTCTAATATCAAATGTAATTTTTGACACAATCGAGATTTTCTAGAATGATTAATACATTTTTTATAGTAAATACCTGTCTACAACCTTGATCTGAATTGTTGATTTCTTTAAATATCAACAAACGGCGTAATAATTTATATTGTTGCAAAGTTCTTGCAATTATTATTCTGATTTTTTACATGGTATATTGGTAGTGTTTAACTATGCAAGATAGTTAATAGCCAATTTGTCACACTAGGTGAACAAGACTGTAGATACAAAATAATAATAAAATATCTTTAATTGCATTAAAATTTTACAATATGCAATGTTCAAGGGAAGTGGGATATTTAGCATAGGACTCTAATTTCTAAGACTTGTACACAACAAATACAAATTTAAAAAAATAAACATATAATATTAAAAGTAGCTGAAAATAATATTCAACAATGATTTATATCTGATTTCCTAAAATTATATTCTTCGTCTTTTAATTCCTATTTGAACTGTTAAGGAATTGTACAAGGAACATCACATTAAAAGAAGAGAGTAGAAAAATATAAATTGTCAGTATAATAAAGTGGAACTCGTATCTTTTTAATATATCTTTATATTGAACATTTTTAGATGGTACAGTACACTAAAATGGCAACATTTGGTTTAACAAATCATACAAACGCCGTGATTCATAACCCTAATCAACAAACTTCTCAGAACACACTAGTGCTGTTATCGAATTAATTCATTGCAATATAGGGATATGCATAACTAAAAAATTTCCATACTATATTGTGTAACAATTTTTATAGAAATATGAAAGATTATTAAATAACAAAATAAGATGAAAAATGAACTAGTATCAAATTTTTGTAAAAAAAAGAGAAAAAATAGTATTGATGTTACTTTTCAGTGACTGACACCAATAATGAGATTAAATATGGAGGGCTACACTATTGATTAGAATTAGAACAGGTATGATACCTACAAATTATAGAAACAATCTGTGATAAAATGATATCCAATAAAAGATTTCCAATGAAATCCACCAATCACAGTCCATATTTTAGTTACCCCATTACCATTATTTTTAAAATTTTAAATAAATGACAATTCTGTCAAACTAATTGTCAGTATATTTTTTAGTTATTTTAAATATACATTAAAATGACTTATTTTTGTATAGAAGCGATAAATAATAGCATTTCTATTTTTATTTATGCTATAATTATAAATAATTTGTTAATTTTAATAAAACTCTATGAAGTCAATTCAATTACAAGTATTAAAAACTTTTCTGCCAGTAGACGGGTGAGAAACCCAAGTTCGAGCCTCGGTGGGGGACTTTTAAACTAATTTTTTTTTCGTTTATTTAATTTTAAAAATTATTAAGTCATAAATTATTTTAAAATTAGTTATTTTGTCTTAATAACCTAAAATATTTTTTTTTCATTTGTAAATTTTCTTTAGTGGGTTATAAAAAAATATACTGTACAACTCGAGTGGATTATCCACATAGCACTCAGACGATTGAGCACTCTGCCTACGGCGTCATGCTCAAATTTCGTCTTCGTGCGATATGGTCATCATATTCAGTCTTGTTGCACAAACTACTATTACCAAATTCATTGTTTATTGACACCAAAGAAAATCCACAAAATTATGGTATTGATTGAAATCTCATGATAAATAACAGAGTTGTGATATCTTGGGTTTAAGCTGGCACAACTATTAATTAAAAAAAAAAAAAACAAGTCAATAAGTATACAAAAATCACAAATAGTGGATACAAATTTCTCATCATAGATAAGGTGCATAGGTTGTGTTAACTTTATATAGCTCAATCTAACATCATTTAGGAGTGATGGATAAGGGATGAAATAGTTACACTTTTTCACTTTGTACTTACCCTTTGACATATGCGGTTTGTTATATTCACTCCTAGTTTTTTTCACTTGTATATTGCAGCTTAATTTTTCTAATGTAATTTCACCTGTTACCCTATCAATTATAAGGACACATTCTTTAGTGTAGGGCTTCTGTGAGCCCTTAAACACTGTCTGGGGTATTCCAGCACCATCTATAAAAATAATGGCCTTAAAAATAGAATATAAATACGAAATCTAATAAATAATTCTTAAAATGATAATGTCAATATTGTTGAATGCCAGAACATCCAGATTCTATTTTTCTAGTTCTTATTAAACAACAAATGTTCGACCTTTGTAAAAAATCTAAAGATACTGATACTAAGAAGTAACAATCAACATATCCTCATTGTAGAGTCAAAACCTTGTAACTCATATTTTGGTGTAATTTAATGTAATTTTTCTTTTTTAGAGAATCATTTTAAAAATGTAAATCTTTAACGATTTCGCACCTTTTTGACTTTCCTTTTTCTATTACATAAAAAATTAACAATTACAGAAAAAAGTTTTTAGTGTTTCCTGAAAACCTGGTAATTTGATGATAGGAGGTTTTGACTCCACGACGATGATATATACTGTTCTTTTTTCATAAATTTTCAAATTACAATATCAAAACTAAATAATATGCTCTCTTCTCATCCAGTTATGAAAAGGGACATTTCTTACCAAATTTTAAGTATTTTAATTATATCTCAGAATCTATAAAATTAATCCTATAGTACTTACCTAAATGAGGTACTGTAACTGAGACCTGATTCACTCCTGGTACTTCAACAGTTGCCTTTTTACTAGTATCCACAGATGCAGGTTTGAAATCATCTACAAAACATGAGGATGAGGATGTCACTTAAAATGTACACAATATACTTACATTTTATAGTATGAAACGCCTTAGATTTCGGATTAATGAAACTCTGGCCAATCTTTAATTCCCTAATCTCGGTTCCTAAGCCTAATTTTTCAGCCATATTTCACTTTTAATCCATCCTATAGGGTGTATTTTTTAAAATGAATATTCCAAATTTCTTACTGTTATGCTTTTAAAATCGTCACAAAATTCTGAAGAAATATTACGGGACTTTACTTACATGATTAAATTAATTACTAATTACTAAAAATCTTTTTTAAAAATCTCAACATATGAACACACGTATTGAAAGGTAAATGTAAAATATTGACCTACTTTTTGACGTTTGTCCAACCACTTTTTTAAACGGTTTGCGACCTGGCTAAAATATCAATTTCTATAATGTCAAACTTATTACAGATAACTATAAAAATTCTCAAAAATGTCAAAATGGTAAAATTGTTTTTCCATAATATTTCTTTTTGCTAGTTTTGTGCTTTTTTTCAATATAGAATTTTCAAATTTTAAATATGTATTTAAAGATTTTGATGTACAATAATTAAAAATGAAATGTGGGGGGAGTAGGGGTTGGGAAACATTTGGGTGGGGATGATTGAAGTTTGTTAATTATGTCCGCCATGTTGGGTGAAGTGTTTTGCTCCTGTCAAATTATTAAAATTTTCTAAAAATTAGTGCATAAAAATGGAAGAAACAAAAGTAATATACCACATAGATGACGAAGAAACCCCATATTTAGTGAAAATACCAATATCGCCTGATAAAGTTACTTTAGTGGATTTTAAGAATGTTCTTAACAGACCCAACTACAAATTTTTCTTTAAATCGATGGACGATGATTTTGGGTAAAGATGATAGTTTTATTCAAATTATTTTTAATGTTTTGAAGTGTATAGTTAATTATATCATAATTTTAAAGTATTAAATTTACTTTTTTGACCCAAAACACAAGTAGAAAGTGTTCTTATTGATGTGTGGTAGCCATTATTTTTCTTAGAAGTAAACATTTCAATCATCGAACAAGGAACCTTTAATTTATGATTTTTCGCCCTTATTTATACTCTTTAAATAGTTTCTATATTAAAACGCCTATTTTATCGCCACCTAATTTTTTTTATGGAATAGAAGACAAATAATTAAATTAAAAATTAATATAAATTAGATGACCAAAATCATATTGAAACTTTCTTTTAGTGTGGTGAAAGAGGAAATAATAGACGATTCTGCCCATTTGCCATGTTTTAATGGGAGAGTAGTGAGTTGGGTAAGTGAATTTTCAATTTTTTTTAATCTGTTATCTTAACAAATTATAAGATTATAGTTTAAGTAAATAGTAATCAATCTTATGCTGACCCCTCAGATTGCTTATCTGAATTAAAAATTATGCCTTTAACTAAAAATATAAGGATATAAATATACATCATTTTTGTTGATTAATAATGCAAAATGTTTATTAAGTAGTTAAGTACCTACACAATTCAAATGGTCCTAAACAGATTTGTTTAATATATTTTGCAAAAATATAGGATTTGAATATTTTATTTTTTTTTGTACAAAAGGTACCTAAGTACTCTAAACCAGAAGTAAAATTTCTTTGGATCCAGAATTACCCTAATTAATGTTGATGATCTTTAAACCTTTCAAGCATGCTGTGAGAACAACATAATCACAATTACCTCTGAGTAGATCTGCCAGAATTAAAATGACAAATTGTTAATAAAATACCTCACTTTATTCGTAACACTGACGTACTGAACAAATTGAAAAAGTACTGAATTCAGTACAAATGTACTGAATCTGGCAGCCCTGAGCTCTGAGTAAATTCACATTTTACTTATATTTTACATACATAGATACTGGATTAATAAAAAATTTAAACTCCTATCTTCATTTAATTCCGTTTTTCACTGAGTATCTTTTCATTTTTTATTTTCATATATTTAGATCTTAAAAATATATTACAATCATTTTATCTTAGTGTACTTAGTCAAAAAAAGAAAAATCAATTGTTTGTTGGACGAATTCTAATCTACTGCATAAGCCCGTGACAGTACAACATGCCAACTGTTGGAATAAACTAGAGATAACAAGGAGATGTAACTACTAACAAATATTATTTACATATATTAAAAGAGCTAAAATAATTCAACTTAGGTATTTCATTGCAATTGAACCCAAAAAAATTTGAATCATTCGTTATATTAAATTTAACTAAATTAGATGTAATTTCACTAAATTAGATGTAATTTCACTAAATTAGATGTAATAATTTTCAATACATTCCAAAAACCTAGTGATGTTAGGTTGGAAGTGGCAACAGGGCTTACAACAGCATGGATATTTACTTTGTTTATTATAAGCGCACAGCGGCTTACACCACAAAGCACATAGAGTTTCCACGTGAATGACCAAGGTCAAAACTGACAACTGACATTTTTTATGCTATTTGCTCCAAACTCTAGATGGGGCTACTGGTGAAATTATGATTTCTTACTCTATTTTTAAGCTTTATGGGAGAAAAACTTAACCAAAGAATCCAAATATATGACGTGTATTTATTTATGTTTTTGGGTAGTCTCATTTTTCCGTCTGATTTTAGTGATTTTTTGTTGGCTTTGATTTTGGTTTCTGTTTATAATTTCGTCATAGTTATTTGCAAAATTGTGATGTTTTGCTTTTCTATTTCCTACTGTGTTTTGCAATAATTTTGGTGCAACGTTGAAAACTTAGAGAAAAACTTCATTGATTCACCATGTATCATAAAAAGACAAACGGGTACAACAACTAATTGATAATCAATTTATCACTGGACTGGATTCCGAAATCATTTTTCACATAAGAGAGTAATACCACCATCTGTATTTGGAAGGAAAATACCTATTTATCATTGAATGAATAGTTAAAAGGATTCACCTTTTAATACAATACCTATATTACATTTGTCCTCGGTTATAAAGACATTTATAAAATATATTACTTTAGTGTTAATAAAATGTAATATCCTAGTCTCTACTTCACATTTAAATTATTGATAGGTATTTTAAAGATTTGCTCCAAGTAAGTATTCGTTAAATATATGTATTATTATTTGTATTTACTTTTATCTAATAATATTTTTTCAAGTTATTAATAAACATATTAAGAATGTTCTATTTTATTATTTATTGATATATCTTATATTTATTTAATAATAATAATAATAATAATAATAATAATATGCAAAACCAACTCTCCACATCAGACCTCTTATAACAAATTAATTCCTCAAATTTGGTATAATCGACCTAAATTATTTTGTAAAATAAAATTCTCGAACTTACTAGTTCCATACTCTATTTTATAAAATAATTTATGTGGAAATCATTTAAAACTACTACCTACTCTTAAAAATTACAATTTGAATTTACCGCCATCTGTCAATTGTCATTTTAGTTCCTGCTCCAAACTCAAGGTGGCGCTAATTTGGTTTAAAAGTTTAACATTGGCGTGGGGTCTCTAGAAGATACGTGCTTTGTGGCTTACACATTTATTCATTAATAAAAATAAGTTGTGTCTGCATAAAATTCTTCTCTTTGTCCCTTCTCTTACTTCTCACCTTTCGTCGCCTCGCCCCGTTCCTACAAATAGAGTGTATCGATTGTCGAATTAATCTTGGCATCATGAATATTATATTTTATCAATAAGGGGTTTTATCTCTGTTATCTTTGGAACAAGCCTATTAAAAATGTAAATGAATTTGATTAAATTCTGACTGTTAAAAGAGAAAAGTTGAATAAAACAAAATAACATTTTATTGAATATATTTTATGTGTATGTAATGATTCAAAATTAAACTAATGTATTTTTCTTAACCATATTTTGAAAGTGTTATGTTTGGTGCAGCTTTTACAATTAAGGGAAGATTTTTGTATAATAGACCTTTAACAACTAGAGGCCTTTGAAATTACTGCTGTTAAATTGTATAATATATATGTCCTCCATGTTAAAAAATTTGACAAAAATGCTGGTGTCAATTTATTTTATAAATAAAAATTAATGTGCCTTCTGTGTTAGGTATTTGTTCTATATCAAGAAACTTTAGTTTTTGTAACATACCTCTTATCCTAGTATACCTATTATCCTATTACATCCCAATAAAAATTACATTACTGTATTTTACAACATTTTGATCCTATTTATAACCTCTTTATTATAATAAATTAATAAAGACATACATTAGGTGAATTGAGAATAGATTATAGCATTATAAACATAAACCATACACCGCATGAGCAACTTGATGTATGATATTTTACCTAATGTCCTATTTTCTTATCTAATTTTTACATAAATGATCAAAGTGATGTCATAAATTCAATTGTGAATCTACCTTAGCACCCAGTTATTCTTCTTTGCTTAATTGTTCAGAATCAATTTTGATGTCAAAGTAATTTCCTTTAAATAGTCCAATTGTGTCCTACTCCAATAATTATACACTTTATTTTGAGAGAATTGGCTTCATTTTTTATACAATTTATTTTGAGAGAGTTAGCTTCATTTTTTTAATACCTAAGCCAGTTTTTAACAAATTCTAATCTAATCAAATCTATTCTATTAATATAATTTATATAGAGTATACATAATAGAGGGCCAGGTATACTCTCTTGTTGATTTCTACTTTCTCTGATTTCTTATTTGTTATTTTAGTTGTTTGGAATCTGTTTTTTAAATAATGTTCTGGGCATTTGAGGACTGTGCCCACACTCCACATAAATATAACTCATCTTTTAATTAGATTCAACGATCAATGTTGTCAAATACCCAATTTAAATCTACAAATATACTTCCAATACTATTTCCTACATCAATTTCCCTTTTCGACTTAGACAACACAAACTGGCATGCACTCTCACAAGAATTTTGCCTTCAAAGTGCTGATTGTCCTTAGTAAATATTTTTATTTCCTCCAAATATCCACTAAAATGTTCTTGCACCATAATTTCCAATCCTTTTTAAAACAATTGGAAGTATATTTTTCAGTCTTAAGTTGTTCTGCTTTCTTGAAATTGATAACCTTTAATTACAGTCCACTGGGTTTTATTTTCTGGATTCTAAGCATCAGAAACAAGGAATATCTATATAAATTTGCATAAAGACATTTCAGCAAAAATAAGTCAATATTGTAGTTCTAAATGTAAATTATTTATTAAGAGTTCAAAACATTACCCTGTATCATTTGCCTATTAATTTTAATTATTACCCATAGAAAGATTGAACTAAGATTTATATCCTCCTATTTCCAAAGGACTAGTTGCCTGATTAACTACACCAATCTTACTAAAGGAGATGATTATTCCTTCATCCTAGCATAGTTAATCTTTGGAATGCTCTTCACCAACATGTTTTTTCTTATCGCCAGAACAACCAATCCTTCTGTCTAAACAAATAGGATTTCAAATCTAAAGGTTCTTTTAACTATTTTTATCTGTATATGTAAGGTGGGTTGCTCTACAGCACTTAAAAGCACTGTGCATCCTCCACGGGCACATAGGACCTGTCTCTTAACTTGTCAAAACCTGCTGGTTGTCGCTGAAAGGTCTCTAGGAATAGCCAACCTCTCAGGTCAAAATCGTGCAGGTAAATACGTTGCCCAGAGATGTCTCTTGATGCTCTATTTTTGGGAAGTAGCCATTTGATAGGCTTCTACCACCCCGATGGTAAGTGCCCGGGCGAATTAATTCTGTCCGCCTGCTCAATCAATCAATATATGTTTATTGTCAAAGCTACAAGAACTTATAGACAAACACTTATAAATATAATTATTATGTAGTACTAACAATTACATGCATAAAAATTTAAAAATTGTATAAAAACGTTAAATATAAAATTAGAGGTTAATTACAAATACAAATACGTAACACAACATCGATAAAATTATATAAATACAAAAACATGTACGTTCAAACAGTCACAACGATTTAAGAGTCATTGTAAAATTCCGTCAAAGCATAATATGCTTTTGTCATCAACATATCTCTAAGCAGTATTTTAAATGTTGTGACCGTTTCCGTCGATTTAATATCATTTGGCAACTTATTGTACATTTTAATCCCATTATAAATGAAAGAGCCCCTTACCAGTTCAGATTTGGGTATGGGCAACCGCAGGTTGTCAACTTGTCGCGTTAGCCGAGCGTTAGTATTGGCATAGTTCGATTTATTTTTATGTATAATACAAGTGGTTTCAAGAATGAACAACGATGTTAATGTTAAAATTTCATGTCTA